ATCGGGAGAAAAAAAATCGGGGATCGGGATTTAAAAAAAAAAAAAAAATTAAATTTTGTATTCAATGTTACAAAACAAAAATGACCATGTTCAAGTCTTAAAGTCATCCTGAGGCCTTAGTTTTGGTTTCAAATGACACAACATCATGTATGTGTTGCTTCTTTGGGGCTTGTTTTCATAGACCTGGTTGCTTATTTCTCTCAAATCTGGCAACAGAGTGGGCAGGGCGCAGGGTTTAATTGTAGCAGTAAGCTAACGAGTACTGATAAGTTTTATTTTGTTTTGATCCAATGCTGCGCAACTGAACTGATCCAATGCTGCTGTGAAAGAAAGAAGCTATATCCATGCTGGATAGAATATCCAATTTAAATAAAAAAATAACCTTAAGGCACAACTTGAATGCTTTTTTTCTTTTTTTTCTCTTAATGCATTGCATAAAGATCGGATCGGGAAAAATTGGTATCGGCAAATTGTCAAAATCAAATGATCGGAATCGGATCGGGAGCAAAAAAAGGTGATCGGGATATCCCTATTTGCAGCACATGGTTTTTGGCCGGATTCAAATCTGCCAATCTCTCCACCAATTGAGCTATACAGTGGCCCCCTATTCTTCCTTTACTGAAATCGTATCACATTATGAATATCTGTCCCTTTTATAATTCTTTTCCCTTCACTTTAGAGAATTTGGAGGTGGATGTTCTTAAACACTGGAGATCAGGTGTTCAGACCCTGCGTTTACTATGCAACATATTGTAGAAATATATATTTAATGTGTCAGTGAAGGTTCTGGAGACTAGGGATGCCAGAAACTGACCTTGATCAAATTCAAAAATCGGACATTTTCGATTATGGAGACTGTAACGAATATTCAAAAAATCGCTNACAGAGTTGAAATGGGCAGACAGAGGGGATGATTTGCAGCTAGAGATGTCCCGATCCGATCACGTGATCGGGGATCGGAGCCGATCACATGATTTTCAAAAGATCGGAATTGGGAGAAAAAAAATCAGGGATCGTTTGAAAATCATGTGATCGGCTCCGATCCCCGATCACGTGATCGGATCGGGACATCTCTAGCTGCAAATCATCCCCTCTGTCTGCCCATTTCAACTCTGTCTCTACACTAAAGCCACTGGTTTCCCAAATATCATAACAAAAGAAGTATAGATAATCCTCAACATTGCTTTTGGAACTAGTTTTTATCAAATATACAGTCCCTGTGAAAACTCTTGAAACGCTCCTGTTCTTGGAATTGTGAGTTTTTCCAAGAAATTAGATTCATTGTCATATGGCTGGAAACAGAAATAAAAAAAAAAAAACCTCCATCCAGAACTATTTGCTTGGTACTACCAGTACTAATGTGTTTTGGGGGGAAGCTACCCTTCAAATGGTCGCACGCTGTCAAGGCTCAGCAGGGATGAGGGCTTTCCATTGCCCACTCTTCCTATTCAAACCCCTTCCCTTCTAATTTAATGACTCAGAATGGTAACTCCAACATTGTTATCATTCAGCAATAGGGAGTAATGAATAGCAATTAACGTTCTCAAAGGAGCTTGAGAGACGTCGCTTTTCACCCAGGAATGTTGAAACAGCGCAGTGGAGGGAGATACTGTCATGTAGAGAAAGGGCCTAATTTATCCGTCCAGCTGTTTTGGGTAAATAACTTTTTTTGTATTAGTATTATTCTTCCTGTCGCTGACTGCTATCAGAGAAAACACAAGTAATCATTCTAATATCCAACACTTCCTTTGATGAACTGTAATAAATTAGCCCGTACATTTTTTTCATCCAATGATTGCTCTTTCTGGTGCCGGGAGAGGAAGGGCTAATTAACTGGATATGAATGAAATTCTAGGGCAGCGTGGTATCAACGGCAGGGAAACAAATGCGATTTGCTTCTGTCGCAACGAGTGGAAAATTGCTGTGTAAATATGAGGTTGTTGCGGAGCAGCGTTTTTATGTGTGCTAACATTACATGGGTGAGAATCCAATCTCACAGGGCAGCATGTGCGGACTGCCCTCTCTGATACACTCCACCGTCCTCCACCTACTCTATGATAGTGCTCTAAAAGCCCCCCTCCAACCCCCCCCCCACCCCAAAATATATCTTCACACACACACTCACAGGCAGTCCCACTGACACAGAGAAACACAAACACATATTTCAAAAGGTAAATGCTATTGTCGAGCCACGTCAGCTGAGGTAGAAAAATGGCAATTTGACTCGAGTCCCATTTTACCGAATTTACCCCAACCACTTGATTTCACACAAGGTAAACAGAGCAGATTCTAATTGTCACACTTGTCCTCTCCTTTACTCCACGTTTGCATATTCCATGGTTCACTTTCAACCGGATGTAGTGGGCACTCGAGTCGGGGAAAAAGACCCCAGCCTCCTCATCCAGACTCACTTATTTCACTTACCGTCCCTTTATGCCACTTCTCGCTTTTTCATCTGCAGAGGCCGTTTTTTTTATCTATGGGCTTGGCCAGTTTTGGAGAGAATTACGGTGACAGAGGCATGGAAATGATAGGCCGGCAGTGAGATATCTCTGCCTCATAAATTCTACATTGCTCAAGATAATTTACGAGGGAGGTTTGTGTGCGTAAGACAGACAGTGCTCCATGGTATCCATCCACTCCACGGGCTCCATTCACTGCGAGAAGTGCGGTCGATTTATCGAAACTGAATTTATTTTCACATTTAGTCCCACTGCATCACTTTGAATGATTATGATCATTTTTTTTTATTCTTTTGCTGAGAAAATGCCCGGATATTATTTGTTCTGTCAGGATTATTACAGATAGAAGAGCAAACTAATAGATTGTGTGCGCGGCGTGTCCACTAATTTACGACGGAGGCCTTCGCGATGAGGTATTCTGCCATCAGCAAAGGTCATCAGCTCCCTGTTGTGCTGTATGAGCAAGAGGCCAGGCCAAAAGGCAAGACGGCTCTGACGTGCGTAATCATTCTTTATACATATTTCTGTTTGAGGAAGGTTAGCACACTGTATATAAACTAGTAGACTCATAGAAAATAAAAGAAGCCTCTTTGGATCGTTTGCTTGGGTCAGTTGTAGTACACTATATGCATTTTTCTCTGGAAGTTTCAAAGGCATTGATATTGCTCCTGAGAGCAGAATTAGATTTTATTTTCTTCTTTAGTTTGCATTGTTCTCTCTCTGTCTCTCCCTGCATTTATTTTTGTTCCTGTCTTCTTGACACGGTCTGAATTTACTCTCTTACGTTACAGGCTGATTCGATGAGCGGAGTATGACTGCAGCCCTCGCAATAGAAGTTTACAACTCAGTTAGCACCGGGCTCTGTGTCTCTACTCAGTTAGCTTTGAGGCCTGTATGCTGGTTGCTGCCTTGCCTCTAGTCTCCCCTCCCTGCAAGGCCTTTTTTCAATAACACCTTCCATCATGTCGATTTACAAAATGGATGTCTTTGCAGGGGAAGAAACAGCCCTTAAGGTGGCGAGCACAGCGTCCGGTGGGTGCAGTGGCTGTAGAGAATCACTCACTTGATCTTCATGTAAGACAGGGGGGTTAGAAGCTGTACGTCAGCTGTGTGTTTGTGTTTGAAGAATCCTCTATAGGTTTTCCAATCAGTGCCAGTATTCCCAACACAACTCTGATGTCAGCGCACCTGCTTATTGCCGCGTCGTACCTGAGTTTTAACTAGACAAGATGCACAATGGAAGCAGACAAGGCTCTTTCACAGGGGAGTTAATCTAATCTACTCCCACTCAACTTGGACATTCGCTGTCACTGACACGCCGGCGTCTTCTCCAATAAAACAGGTGAAGGCAGAGCACGTCGAGCGCAACTCTCCAGGTAACTGGTGCTGGCACTCTGCTGGGCTTTCATGTGAACCCTCTCCGGGATCCCTCCTATCATTATACATGAGCGTTCATTCTCAATTTGGCCCGCTCTTCCAATCAGTTATTCGTGCTGTCTTCTCGTGTCAGAGTCACAACCGTGATGCCACTGACAGGATAGCTTTCCAAAAAACAAATGTATAAACTGGTTGTTGCATTGTAGTGTTGTCAGGTGCTTCGGGATTTAAAAATCCACCAT